ATTGTGTATCTGACAAGGACAAAGAAGAGAGTGGTCTCAAACACACCCTTAGGAGATCCATCCAAAGTGAAAAGATAGTATTAAACTGCCAGTTCGCTTGAAGCAGAATACTGCTCTTCGTGGTTTTGGTGGTAAGAGCATTTCGATTCCGGCCTGGGTTGGTAGCGAAAGCGGTATTCCACATCGAAGAGGCGCAGTTGCAGGCTCACGAGCCTTGGAAGGGAGCTTCGTCTTAGTCTCATGTGAACTGGCGGTTTAAGATTCCGAAAGACAGAAATGGGACCTGAGCAAGCATGACACCGGCTGCTCAGCACATTTAGTTTTGCCCATGCATCTTTGTGTATGTGTTACAGACTGTCACCAGAGCAACCCCTTTTACACCCAGATGAGTAGATCCAAAGTTGAAATGGCCTGACCTTATAATCTTCTATCAACTTATATCAAGTTATATGTCATAGTTTAAATGACATGTTTGATAATTGTCATGTTTTGATGGAACGGTCTGTGTATGAGTGTATGTGTACATTCATTCTCACACGATAATCCACGTGTCATTCTCCGAAGATTTGTTCGGCACATCCTGAATAGGAGGGGCCTAGGGGCATTCTACGAAACAGTGATCTCCATTGTTTGTGCAAAGCCTTTCCTTGCCCAGGATTTGGCCATGAGCCAGAAGAGTCCACTCATGTTGTCCGGGGTTTTGTCTCTAGCTAGCTGTTGTTTCCTGTGTAGCCCCAATTTATTCCAAGGTAGCTTGTTATTGGTTATCATTTTGATGATCCACTTCGTCTGCAGTGCTTTGATTTGTGTATCCGGGTCCAGGATTCCAAGACCACCCTGAGATTTCTTCAGGATGACATACTTCCAAGCTACCTGTGAAATGAAGTTGGTTTTCTCTCTTTCGCCCTTCTCCCTTGTCTTCCCTCTGTTCACCCGAAGACCACCACTGCGCCTTGCTGTTTATCCAAGCCCAACCAGCTATGGAAGCTGGGCTATGGCGCTGCCCTCAGCAGTGCCCTTCTACCCACACGACTGCACGTGCACAGCACCTTGCCCCAGCGCTAGCAGCAGCACGCGAGCAATCGCTCCAGCAGCGCTGCTGCACACTGGCAAGTGCCCCAAGGAGCTGCCAGGCAGCGAACTCTTTCCTGTATGGAAAGAGTCTGGCCTGGCCTGCAGCCCGGCTGGGCTGGGCCTGTGCCCAGAAGCTTCCGGTAGGCCCCAGGTAGCTGGGCCTCTGCTGCTGCTGGGCCTCGTTCAGTTATGCCTCCCAACTGTCTGTGTATGTTGCTGCGAATGTGGCCCAGGTCCTGCATTTCAGAAAAGGTCTAGAAGGCCGTGGAAAGTATTTGCTGCTCGGGTCCTGGGTTCCCTCAACCAACTGACGCGACACAACTGCCTGAGTCCCCAAATACAAAATTGACAGTATTCGGCCTCTCGTGATTTGTTAGGCCCGCCTTCACTTAGGGTGGGCACACTTGCACAAGGGGCCCCTCAGGCCTGCCGAGGAGCCACATCCTCGCATCTGTAAATTTTCAGGGCATTTGGCTGTGCCAAAAAAACAAAAAAAAAGCCAAAGATGGCGGTGTCGAAAACGGGCTTGCGAACTCGCTAATTTCAATTCTCTAATTTCTCTTTTTATTTTTTCTTATTTTTCTTATTTAACTTATGTTACGATCCTGGTCATTTCCAAAGTGCAAATTCACAATGAAAGACAATGCCACCCAATTGCGAAAGAAATGAAAGCACTTGCAAAGAGATAGAGACCAGAGGAGAGAGAAAGAAGAAGAAGAAGAAGAAGAAGAAGAAGAAGAAGAAGATGTACACCAGCAAGACCAATGACAATTCCCCCTTCTCTCTCCACCTTCCTCCTCCTCCTTCACTTCGCCAATCTTATTCTTCTCTCAATAATAACAATAACAATGAATGGATGAACCAGAATTAATATCCGAAGTTCCCTCTTACTGCTGACTCAACAACAACAACAACAACAACAACAACAAGAAGTCCACCATAGCTATGGCTTCCCTCCTTCTGCCTCCTCTCTTATGCATAGGCTATGGCGGACTGCTGAGGGCCCTGCCCTCCTGTCCCAAGGACAACACAAAGCAGCTATGGCGCTACACTCCTGTCCAAAGGACAACCCAAAGCAGCTATGATGCTGCTGACTGGTCCGCCATGCCTGACTCTGCCTCGAGCTTCCTGGATGCGGCACTACCCCAACTGGGGTCTTCCAGATGCAGCGCTCAACAAGGTGATGAAGACGGTGTCCACCATAGCCGGGTAGGTGCCTCGCCACTCTCCTACTTAGCCCCCTTCTTCCTCCTCCTCAAGCTGGGCTGCTCGCCATAGCCAGGTTGAGCTCCAGCTGCCCTTCACCTCCAAGCAGCACTGTACCAGTCCAGCGCTGCGCTCCAGCAGCATGTCGCCAATCCTTGCATACCGCAAATGAAGAGGAGCTACTTGCTCCTCCGAAAGATATAGCGGCCCACTGGCCTCCTGGGCGGTGACTTCCTAGGCCGAGCGGCCTCCCAGCAACCGGTACCTCCTCCCTTTCGGAGGGAAACATCATTGCAGGCTCTGCTAACCTCCAGACAGGCCCTAGACCTGGGCTACTTGGACTGGTACTGGCCTACCTCTAGCCTACCGCTACTGGGCCTCTAAAAATGCCAACTTTTTGTCTTCTTCTGCTCGGCCTCCAGTACCCGMCACTTCTACCACTACTTCAGTGGTACCGGCCTACCTGCTACTTGAGTGTTTTCCCCCTCTGCTCTAAGTGCTGCGGGCCTACCCCCGCTACTCGAGTGTTTTCCCCCCTGTCAACCCTTCACAGTCACGGCCACAGGTAAGTACCGGCCCTGCGGGGCCTTTCAACCAACAAGTACCCTTGCGGGTCACACACACACTCAACCGACAAGCACTCAGACAGGCATGCAAACCAGCAGGCACGCACACACACACACAGAC